GTGCATAAAGCAGTAATTATAAAACTCCATTGATGGCTTATAATTATAAAGATATAATTTGTATGAGAATAACTGCAAAAAGGAGGGAAGAGAGAACAAAGCTATGTTGGAGCAAAGTTTTTATATTCTTATAAAATTTAGTTGGTATTAATCACAATTAGATTGTTATGTTAATTGTTATCCCTAGGGCAGCCAGTAAGAAAATAACTTGTAAAATGTTCTAAAATAAATGACAAGTGAATTAAAACGGTAAACTAGAAAAATGTCTATTTAACACAAAAGCTGGTCATACAGAGGAAATGAAAAAGAGAAAAGATGTAAGATATATAGAAAACAATTAGTAAATTAGTAGATGTAAATCCTACTTCATTACTTAAAGTAATGTTACTACTTTATCAATAATTACATTAAATATAAATAAAATTAGCACTCCATTAGGCAGAGAATGGCAGAAGGCATTTCTTAAACAAACAATCATGATCTAACTATGTACTTCTACAAGAGACATACTTTTGAGCCAAAGACACAAATAAGTTGAAATTAAAAGAATGGAAGAACATATACCATGCAAACAGTAACCAACGAAAGCTGGAGTGGCTATAGTAATATCAGACATAATAGACTTTAAGGCAAAAATTGTTACAAGAAACAAAGGACATTTTATAATGACAAAAGGATCAATCCATTAAGAAGGCATAACAATTATAAACGTACATGCACCTCACAATAGAGCGCTAAAATACACTTAGCAAAATCTGACAGAGCTAATGGGAGAAACAGTTCAACCATAATAATTATAGGCTTCATTACCCTACTTCAAATAATGAATGGAAAAACTAGACAAAAGATTAACAAGGAAATGAAGATTTGAATAACACTATAAGACAGCTAAGAGACATCTATAGAAGACTATGCTCAACAAGAACAGAATGTATATTCCTCTCAAGTGCGCATGTAACATTCCCCAAAACAGACCATATCCTGGCCCACAAAACAATTCCCAGGAAATATAAAATAATTAAAATAGTATAAAGTATGTTCTCCAGGCACAATGGAATTAAATTAAAAAATGCAACAGAAATGTGGGAAATACACAAATATGTAGAAATTAGACAACTCACTCATAAATAACCTATGAGTCAAAGAATAAAAAACAGGGAAAAATTCAGAAATATTTTGAGATGAATGAAAATGAAAAACAATATACCACAATTTATGGGATGGAGCTAAAGCAGTGCTTAAAGAGAAATGTATAGCTATAAATGCTTTTAGTGAAGAAAGGTCTTAAATCAATAACCTAAACTTTCACCTTAAGAAACTAGAAAAAGACAAGTAAATGTCACCTAAAGCAAGCAGAAGAAAAAATTTAATAAAGCTTACAGCAGAAATGAATAAAATAGATAACAGGAAAAAAAATAGAGAAAATCAATGCAACCAAAAGCTGGCTCCTTGAAAATACAAACAAAATATAAAATTGATAGACCTTTAGTTAGACTGACAAAGAAAAAAGAGCTCAAATTACTAAATCAGGAATGAAAGCTGGGACATTACTACTAACCTTACAGCAATAAAAAGGTCCTAGATGAAACAGAAAAAATCCCCTAAAGAAATATATAACAGTTATCTACAAAATGGAGTTCTATTTATTTGCCTTACTATAAACAGGTATTTCCAAAGACTAACCAAAAATTCAGGAAGGAGAGAGCGCATTTTGCCTATTGGCAGATGAGAGTGTCACATGCCTTCTTTTATTTCTTTATTTTGTTGTTAGATTTCTCTCTTAACTGATTATCTAAATAGGATTAATGAAGAACCTTGCCTTTTCTCATAGATGTACTCAGAAGAGTAGCTCATTTTATGGGTATAAATGAATAAATGTATCGCTTGTTTCCAAAAGAACAGTGAAATCCACAAACGGGGAAATGGAAGACTTCCTTGCCATGGTGAACTATAACGTGGTCTAACAGGCTCTGCTAACACAAGCTATAATCACTGGGGTGACCCAGGCCCAGGGATGCACTTAAGAACTTACAAATCACAGCCAGCACCTTGCTTGCTGCCTTACCCACCCCATGTTTACGGGCTTTTAGCAACCATTTACAAATCTATGTATTAATAGAGTTTGTAGGGAGTCATAGCCTGCTTATTTCACAAGGATAAAGAAAGGTTTTATTCAAGTGTTTTTGTAAATATCCAACCTCATAATTTTCATCATCTGGTGAATTAGTTATTTCATATACTGGAGTTAAATTTGCAAATGGCAGTAAGACAAAGTTTCCCTTGATCTATTTAGGAAAATTTGTTAGAGAATCATATTTTTGAAAACAGGAGATACTAGGCACATAAAAATCCTGGAAACTAAGATCTTTGGTACTTGAGAAAGAAGCTTGATTGAGTAAATTGTTTGAAAGATATTTTAAGACCTGTATGTGACATCAAGACACAGTTGTATTTTGAGTCCATTAACAAGTAATCTGTTCTTGCTAGACACACAGCAATGTCTCAGGTAATCTACCTGTATTCACCTGGTCCTGCACTGTCCAATAAAATAGTGTTAGCCACATTTGGCTAACTTGAAACGTGGCTAGTCCTAATTAGGATGTATTGGAAGTGTAAAACACACTATATTCCAAAGACTTAGTACAAAAAAAAAACGATCTCAATTATTTTTTTTTAAAGATTTATTTATTTGACAGAGAGAGACACAGCGAGAGAGGGAACACAATCAGGGAGAGCGGGAGAGGGAGAAGCAGGCTTCCCGCTGAGCAGGGAGCCCGATGCGGGGCTCGATCCCAGGACCCTGGGATCATGACCTGAGCCGAAGGCAGATGCTTAACGACTGAGCCACCCAGGCACCCCTAATCTCAATTATTTTATACCGAGTATATATTGAAATATTTTGAGTATATTCAACTGAGTCAAACATTATTAAAATTAATTTCACCTGTTTCTTTTTACCTTTTTAATGTGGCTATAATTTAAGTTTACATATATGTAGCTCATATTGTACTTTCCTCCGACAGTCATGATCTGGTGTATTACAGATAACTTGACCTGTCCAGAGGGAGGATGCTGGAATTAGCATCACAAATAAGCAGGAACCCCCGGGAAGGCCTGTAGAAATTTTCTTTCTGAAAACTCATTATGGAGAACTTTGGGAGAATGGAGTCGGGTTTTTCCATCATTTCTTAATGCCGGCAATGTTCAAAAGACCAAAGAGGTAGCTAATAGGTTAAAAAACAAAAACCAAACAAACAAAGAAATAGGCTATTGTGTAAAGGAGTGTCCAGGCCTGGGTCTAATTATAGTCTGATTCAACTCCTGGAAAGGAAGTTTGATAATGTTCCAGTTTACAGCCTAATGACCAACATTACTAAATTACCCCCTTCTGTGCTTTGGTGCTACATTTATGTGTTCTCTTAGTGACTGAAAAGTTAAGAGACACCTCTAACACCCCTGACCCATATTAGACCCATATTCTGGAGCCACCATGGCCTAGATTTAGACTAAGATGAGCCTAGGGAGATTTCTTCTTAGGAGCTACCCTGGGTTTTCTGGTTTGAGTGGAGTCCGGTAGAAGTTCACCCTGGGGCAGGTACTTCCGGGGACTCTGTGATCCATCTGGGAGGTCAAAGGAACAGTACCTTTGACACACTCACCAGGAAAACTAGCACAGATCTGTTCTTTGTACCTCTAGGTGCCCTCTGGCCTATACTCATCCAACATGCACTTACACACCCCAAGCAGAATTAGCAAGATTGTGTAGACCTAGCAACCCTGATTTTATTTAAGCTTATAATATTAATTGTATTATAAATAAAATCATTCAAGTGCATTAAAGAAAGTGTCTAAAATAGAGAAAAGAGGAGCACCTGGGTGGCTCAGTTGGTTAAGTGCCCAACTCTTGATTTTGGCTCAGGTCATGATCTCAGGGTTGTGCGACTGAGCCCGCATCTGTGCTCTATGCTGGGCGTGGAGCCTGCTTTCCCTCTCCCTCTGCCCCTCCCCCTCTTTCTTTCTTTCTTTCTTTCTTTTTCTTTCTTTCATTCATTATTCATCACTGTGCTTATCTGGATATACACAGCCACAGTCCTTGCCATCATGAAGGTCCTTTTTCTAGGAAAAAGGATTTTAAGCTTCTTTTGAAACTTTTTCTTTTCAGTCTCAACAGAATCTCAGTATGCATGTAGTCACATATAAATCAGAGAAGTGATGTTTTAGTAGCAGACCCTAATTTCATGATTTCTAGTTGGTAATATTTATTTTGAAATACTAATTTGTTTATTCTCCTCTCTGTGCCCACATCACCCCACACCCCTCCCCAATTCAAGCAGGTGCAGAGCTTGATGTTTCTTTGCCTTGGGAGGTTTTGCCTAGTGGACAAGAGAAGCTGTTCTCAGGCACTTCCACCCTTTGAAGGCATCCTAGCCAGTGTTACAGAAAGGGTAATCCTCTGAGGAGCCTGTGAGGTAGTTAGAAATATGAATTCATGGGCCCCACGCCACCTCTGGAATCAGAATCTCTGTGGGTAAGGCCCAGGACACTCTTTCAACAAGTTCTTTAGGCAATGAGTATACACATTAACTGAGAGGAGCTGGGTTAGGGATTAGGGGAAGGATTCCAGAGACAGAGGAGTGAGTCCCACACCTTTGAGAGTAAGGAGGAAGACAGGGAGCCAGTCCCCGGGAACATGCAAGCCTCCAAGGCTGTACCAAGAAGGTGCTGAGATCTCAGATGAGGTGACACTGGGGGTCCCAGCCCCGCCAAACCTTCTCCTGCCCCCATGATAGGCAGGGAAACAGTATGTAAACAGAATTCATGGCACCACCAAAGGCCTTGACAGTGAGAGGTTTATGTGTCCACAATGGGTTAGACCCCATGGGAGCCTACTGCACTTTGAAGGGCCCTATGCTGCCTGAGACATTCATCATGGTACAGAGCCGAAGTCTCATTTTATTTATTTATTTATTTTATTTTATTTTTATCTTTATTTTTTTAAGGTCAGGCCCTGCTATGACTCACTTTGGAAAACCAGACTTGGACTCCTGCAGCCATTACACCTGCCTAGAATCCAACACAGAGAAGCACAATTGGAGTTTGGAGTGAGTGTGGCTACAATGAAGAGGAAGGAGGTAGGAGTCCACCTGTGGGATCTTGCTCAAAATTTCCCTCCCCCACGTGCTCCTCCCACAGACCTGGCACAGGACTTCCCGTAAGCAAAGCAGAATGCCTAGAAAGGGGGCCACAGACCCAGATACTTTCAGTATCAGCCAAGAAACAGATGTGGTAAGGTTGAAAGTGTTAAGTCATATCATAACTTGGGGTGTGCAGAGAAAATGTATGCCTTAGTTGCTTACCCGGAAGCAAACCTTGAGATGTGTTTTTTGTTTTCTAGGGTTTGTTTTGTTTTGTTTTGTTTGCCACTTCACCCATATGGAAGTTTATCTGCTGGATAACTACCTAGAAGTAGAAATGCTGAGTAGGTAAATTTATAGATTTTCTTAATTTTTAAATTTTTTAGATCTTTTGATCCCCTTCAACCATTTCTCCCACCACCTAACCCCCACCTTTGGCAACCACACTCTGTGAGCTTGGTTGTGGGGTTTTTTATTTTTTAGATTCTGCATATAAGAGAGAGCATATAGTATGGCTTTCTCTGTCTGACTAAGTTCACTTAGCATAATGGCTTTGGGGTCCATCCACGTTGTCATGAATGACAAAATACCATTTTTTATGGCTGAATAATATTCCTGTGTGTGTGTGTGTGTGTATGTGTGTGTGTGTATACATTTTCCTTATCCATTCATCTGTCGATGGACACTTAGGTTGTTTCCATATCCTGTCTATAGTAAATAATGCTGCAATGAACATGGGGGTGCATGTATCTTTTCAAATTAGTGTTTTGTTTTATTCACATAAATACCCAGAAATGGAATTGCTGGATCACGTGGTAGTTCTATTTTTAATTTTTTGAGGAACCTCCGTACTGTTTTCCACAGTGGCTGCAACAGTTTGCATTCTCACCAACAGTGCATGAGGGCTCCCTTTTCTCTACATCCTCACCAATACTTGTTATTTCTTGCTTTTTTGATAATAGCCAATCTAACAGGGGTGAGCTGATATCTCACTGTGTTTTGATTAGCATTTTCCTGATCACTAGTGAGGTTGAGCATCTTTTTATGTACCTATTGGCCATCTACCTTCTTTGGAAAAATGACTATTCAGATCTTCTGCCCATTTTTAAATCAGATCTTTTTTTGCTGTTGAGTTGTATAATTATATATTTTGGACATTAACCCTTTATCAGATACATGATTTGCAAATATTTTCTCCCATTCAGTAGGTTTCCTTTTTATTTTGTTGGTTTCCTTTGCTGTGCAGGAGCTTTTTAGTTTGATGTAGTCTCACTTGTTTATTTTTGCTTATGTTGCTTTTACTTCTGATCTCAGATTAAAAAAATCATCACCAAGACCTATGTCAAGGAGCTTATAAGTTTTATGGTTTCAGGTCTTACATTCATGTTTTTAATACATTTTGAGTTAATTTTTGTGTATGGTATAAGATTATGGTCTAGTTTCATTTTTTGGCCTGTGGCTGTCCAGTTTTCCCAGCACCATTTACTGAAGAGACTACCCCTTTCCCATTGTATATTCTTGCCTTCTTTATCATAAATTAATTGGTCATATATGGATGGGTTTATTTCTAGACTATCTATTCCGATCATTGACCCCTGTGTCTTTTTTATGCTGATACCATACTGTTTTAATAAGTATAGTTTTGTAATACAGTTTGAAGTCAGGGAATGTGAGGCATCCAGCTTTTTTGTTCCTTCTCAAGATTGTTTTGGCTATTCAGGGTCTTCTGTGGCTCCACACAAACTTTAGGATTGTTGTTCTATTTCTGTGAAAAATGCCATTAGAATTTTGATGGGGGTGTCACTAAATCTGTAGATTGCTTTGGGTAGTAAATTCTTGCAATCCATGAGCCCAGAATATCTTTCCATTAATTTTTGTCATCTTCAGTTTCTCTCCTTAATGTCTTGTAGTTTTCAGTATACAGGTTTTTTACCTCCTTGGTTATATTTATTCCTAGGTCTTTTATTCTTTTTTGTTGCAGTTGTAAATGGGGTTGTTTTCTTAACTTCTCTTTCTGATGGTTCACTATTAGTGCATAAAAATGCAACAGATTTTTGTGTATTGATTTTGTATCCTGCAACGTTACCAAATTTGCTTATTAGTTCAAACAGTTTTTTGATGGAGTCTTTAGGGTTTTCTATGAAAGAGGAGCTATTACAACTGATATCACAGAAATACAAAGGGTCATAAGCAGTAACTGTGAACAATTACACTCCAACAATTGGACAACCTAGAAGAAATGGATAAACTCCTAGAAACATACCGCCTACCAAGACTGAATCATGAATAAATGGAAAATCTGAATACTAGTAAGGAAATTGAATCAGTAATCCAAAACCTCCCCCAAACAAAAGCCCCAGACCAGATGGCTCCATTGGTGAATTCTACCAAACATTCAAAGAAGAATGAATACGAATCCTTCTCAAACTCTTCCAAAAAATAGAACAGGAGGGAACTCTTCCAAACTCATTTTATGAAGCCTGCATTACCAAAACCAGACAAGGATGCCACAGGAAAAGAAAATTACAAGCCAATATCCCTGATGAACATAGATTTAAAAATCCTCAACAAAATATTAACAAATTGAATGCAGCAATACATTAAAAGGATCATACGCTGAGTGCCTTGGTTGAGCATCTGGCTCTTGGTTTTGGGTTAGGTTGTGATTTCATGGGTCATGGGATCAAGCCCCACATTGGGCTCTGTACTCAGCAGGAGTCTGCTTGAAGATTCTCTCCCTCTGCTCCTCCCTCCTCAAATAAATAAATAAATAAATAAATCTTTAAAAAAATCATACACCATGATTGAGTGGGATTTATTCCAGGGATGTCAGGCTGGCTCAACATCTGCAAGTTAGTCAGTATGATACACCACATTAACAAAATGAGGTATTAAAAATCATATGATCCTCTTAATGGATATAGAAAAAGCATTTGATAAAATTCAACATCCATTTATGATAAAAACTCTCAACAAAGTGGGTATAGAGGGAACGTTCTTCAACATATTAAAGTCATATATGACAAGCTCACAGCTAACATCATACTTGAAAAACTGAAAGCTTTTCCTCAAGACAAAATGCCCACTATCGCCACTTTTATTCAATCTAGTATTAGAAGTCCCAGCCAGAGCAATTAGGTAAGAGAAGAAATAAAAGGCATCCAAATTGGAAAGGAAGAACTAAACTGTCACTATTTGCAGATGACATGATTTATTAAAAAAAAAAAAAAAAAAGGGGGCGCCTGGGTGGCTCAGTCGTTAAGCGTCTGCCTTCAGCTCAGGTCATGATCCCAGGGTTCTGGGATCGAGCCCCGCATCGGGCTCCCTGCTCCACAGAGAGCCTGCTTCTCCCTCTCCCACTCCCCCTGCTTGTGTTCCCTCTCTCGCTGTGTCTCTCTCTGTCAAATAAATAAAATCTTTAAAAAAAAAAAAAAAGCCACTATCCAAAAGAACAAAGAACTGGAGAATTCTCATATACCTAAGGTTGTAAAGTTGTAAATGAGATTCTTTGCCAATGCATGTATTATAAAGTCAATAAGTGAGGCAAAGAACCACTCAAAATTCTTGCACTGGGGATTATGAATGACTCTGTCAGTCTTACATCAGCCTCACCCTCTAAGCTATTTCTTTATTAGGGATTCTTTTGCACACTGAAGATCTCCAGTCACACTGATAGGTAGTACTGTGTTTGTTTGTACAGTGCTATTTGAGTAGGCCTAGGTAGAATTAAAACTTTCTTAATAAATAGCATTTTGGAAAAATATCTATAGAGGTGGAAAAAAACTTTATCCAGTCACAGGCAAAAGAGAAAGGAAGGAAGGAATGAAGGAAGGGAGGGAGGAAAGAACAAAAGAAAAAAGTCTATCTTGGTAGCATAATTAAAGTCTCTGGTGTGAATGAAATAAAATTTGGTATATTACACATTTAAATAACTTTGGTTTTTAATTACAACTTTGAACTCCATTAGGAATAATAATATGTTACAGCTAATATGGGGGCTCTGGCAAAATAAGTCATCTATAAGTATAATGCTACAGTTTATCATTTCTCAAGGGGCAAGGCCCAAATCCAGGTACTCAAGGCCAAAATCCAGGTACCAGGAAGAGTAGTGGTTCTCAAATGTGGGTGTGCATCAAAATCACCTGGAGGGCTTGTCAAAACAGGAACAGCTGGGGTGTGCCTGGATGGCTCAGTCGTTAAGCGTCTGCCTTCGGCTCAGGTCATGATCCCAGGGTCCTGGGATCGAGTCCCACATCGGGCTCCCGGTTCAGCAGGAAGCCTGCTTCTCCCTCTCCCACTCCCCCTGCTTGTGTTCGCTCTCTCACTGTGTCTCTCTGTCAAATAAATAAATCAATCTTAAAAAAAAAAAAAAAAAAACAGGGACAGCTGGGCCCTCCTCCTGTGTCCTTCCCTTTTCAGTTTAGGATCAGTAGGTCTGGGATGGAGCTCAAGAATTCGCATTTCTGGGACGCCTGGGTGGCTCAACTAGTTGTTAAGTGTCTGCCTGCCTGCCTTTGGCTCCGGTCATGATCCCAGGACCTCGGGTCGTGATCCCGGTGTCCTGGGATCGACCAGTGTTGGGCTCTCTGCTCGGTGGAGGGCCTGCTTCTCCCTCTCCCACTCCCCCTGCTTGTGTTCCCTCTCTTCGCTGTCTCTCCCTGTCAAATAAATAAATAAAATCTTTAAGAAAAAAAAAGAATTTGCATTTCTAACAAATTCCCAGGTAATGCCAATAATGCTGGCTCAAGGACCACCCTTTGAGAACTACCAGAACCAATTGTGGTTACTTTCCATTGCTTGCCTTGACCAGATGTATTTGCAAAGAGGAAATTCCTGGGTGCCTCGCTCATAGGTCTTCTGGGTTCAGACCAGAGTTGAACTCATTATCCATCTGCTTTTAAACTAGGACTGGCTGTGCATTACAGTCATCTAGGGAATTTTTTTTGTAAACTGAGGAGTCCCCAGTCCCACTTTCAGAAAATCTGAATTAATTGATCTGGGTGATTTAACTGGTCTGGGTAAAGCTTACTGGGACTTCAGTTACCATTTAAGATAGTGGCTCACCCATGGGTATACAGTTGCAACACCTAGAATCCTTTTAAAGAACATCTAAGCCTGGCTCCATTCCAGACCAATTACCAGAATCTCCAAGGGCAGTAGGCCTTGGGGTTGTTTTGTTGTTCTGTTTGTTTTTAATTAATAGACTTTATATTTTTTAGAGCAGTTTTGTGTTTATAGAAAAATCGAGCAGAAAGTACAAAGAGCTGCCATATACTCCCTCCCCTGTCCCCACGGTTCCCCTACTATTCATATCTTGCATTGGTGTGGTGTATTAATTACAATTGATGAACATTGATGAATTGATGAATATTGGTACGTTATTAGTAACTAAAGTCCACAGTTTACATCAGGGTTCACTCTTTATGTTGTACAGTTCTAGGGTTTTACCAAATGCATAATTGTCAGGTATCCACCATTGGGGTATCTCACACAATAGTTTCAACCCTGGCATTTTTAAAAGACACCCCAGGAGATTTATCGGTACTGCCAACTTGAGAACGACTGATTTAACAATTATCGAGGAGGAGGAACAAAATAACTGGGTACTTTCCTATGTTTGTTATTTTAAAAAATTCCTCATTTGGTTCCAAGTAATGATCAACAGCAAAATAAGAAGGGACCAATTTGAAGTAAAAAGCAGCAAAAAGAGGGCGCCTGGGTGGCTCAGTTGGTTAAGCGACTGCCTTCGGCTCAGGTCATGATCTCAGGGTTGTGCGACTGAG